TCGAACATCCTTAACCATGTAAGGATCTTTGGTTTCTTCATTTTTTTACAAATTCTTCAATTTCTTTCACCTCTAAATAAAGTTCTTCATGAACTTTGTTTGCTTCCATTTCTTGAGTTACTTCTTCAACTTTATCGTTTTCTTCATATTCTCTGGCCTCTTGAACTTCGAACTTGAACTTTGGTCTTCTCAACTTGCTTGACTTCAACATGATAATGCTGTTCCTGATCCTTTATTGGCGTGTCTTCAAAATCACATTCTTCTTTTACATATTCATCCTCTTAAAAAATACTCACCTTATGTTTGGATTCAATCATCTTTCAAACATGATTTAGAAATCTTAAATCTTCAAGATACTTCCAAATTTCTAGATGTGTAGCCTTCTTGAGAACTCTTAGTGTCTTTTCCTCTATTTTATCTCGGAATGTTTTAAGCAAGCCACTCTTGGCTTTTCTTCAATTACATTCCACAAATCACATGCTTTAAGATAAAAATGAAGGTAATATTCATTCTCTTGTACTTAGAGGACATCATCTTTTCATACTAAAAATATATATTGGTGAATCTGCTATGATCATCATAATCGTGATGAGCTATCTAGACTTTCAGGATCAAAAAGCTGGCTCAGATGGAGAGATATCTACATTTCTAGGATCAAAAGGTGGCTCTAATACTAATTTGTTAGAATTACTTCAATGTTACTTTGGTTGAAAATTTGCTCTGATATCACTTTATTAGAGTCAGGAGGACTAGAAATAAAATACAAGGAAGTAGAGGAGGATATGAATATTCAAAGAAAAAATAATTTCATTCAAGTGGATTACAATCACAACTTACATTCACAATGTTCACATACTCACTTAACTCAACTCTACTTACTTCTAACACTAAGTCACATACCCTAATTCACAGGATGTGTCCCAAATATTTGGTTCGGAGGCCATGATGGCCATGATGACCAAGAAGGTGTGTACGAACACCTATATGATTAAATCCTTAATCTTTTATGATTTATGTAAATCTGAATTATTATGCTCAGAAATTGTTATTAACTTTCTGACTAATATGTTCACAATGTTAAAACATTTGTCAAAAATAGGGAAAGAAGAAAGTTGGGTCTTCAAGCAGTGGAGTAGCAGAGATAGTCGTTCAAGGAGTGAGTGAAGTTAATACACCTAATGTTCCAGCAGAGTCTGAATATGAAATGTTCTACTTTGTGTAGCATAGGTTTATAGTTAGCAAGGTAGCTTTTGTTCTTGGCATGATGTTTTTGAATATGGCAGGGATTTGTTTTTGTGACAGTGCATCTTTTGTGATTTTTTTGGATTCTTGTTATTTTTAGATGCCTGCCTATTTGATGTAATATGTTGACATTGGGAATTGTCAAAATGCAACTTAGTAGTATATCAATCCAAAATATATATACATGTTTTTCATATTGCCCTTTTTAATGTAGTACATCAAATTAGTTGAAAATGCTGAGAGAGTGGCTTTCCAAATTATTTTTTGAATAGCAGAGTGACTTTCTCAGATGGAACTTGTGGTATTTCTGTACCCAATGCTTCATGTCTCTCAATGGTAAGAGGAAGTTTTGCTACGTTAAGATGATCCGGTTCTCAATTGACACTAGACTCAGTAGTAGGAAAGGGCAATTTGGGGATTATTTTTATATTTTTTGATTGCATCATCAATTTCTAACTATCATCTGAATGGAAACGGAAAGTATGGGTTTATGCATTACATGCGCACAAATATTGTGGGATCTATGTATAATATTAAAAACTAGTTATTACCTGTGCCTGAAGGCACAGTGTAATAAAAAATGATAAACAATAAACATATTTGTATTCATATCTAAAATCAAATCACAAACATAAAGAAGAGATAAAATAATTTAAGTATCGGTCTGTAGTGGGGGTGAGAGGTGGTGGACGACAGTAGTGGTGATAAGAGACGGTAATGGTTATAGTGGGTGACAATGACCGTGGTTGTGGCGGTGACGGTGGGGGTGGCAGTGGCGGTGGTGGTGGAGGCAGTGGTGATGGGTGTGGCGATGGTGGGAGGTTGGTGACGGTGGTGGTGGTGATGGCGACAATAGCGACGGTGACAGCGACGACGATGGTGGTGGTGGTGGCGGCGATGGTGGGGGTGGCAATGGTGATGGCTGCGACAGCGGTGGTGGTGGTGGTGACGGTGACGACAGTGGTGGTGGTGGTGGCGACAACGGTGACTACAGTGGCGGTGGTGGTAAAGGTAGTGGTGGTAATGGTGACGACTATAGTGGCGGTGGTGGTGGTAGAGGTAGTGGTGGAGCGGTTTCAAACACTATTATTTTTTTCAAAGTAGTCATGAGAAATAATTTTTAAAAGTACTTTTAAAAAATCACTCCAAACACATCATTAAAGGTCTTTTCTATTAAATTGAGGATGTTAATATTAGCTGTTATATTAACTTTAAAGTAAAATTTAAAGTGATCTCAACCGCAAATAACAAAAGTCATTTTATTTATCTTTTAAAATTTAAATTGTAAGTTATTTTATTATATAAATATTAAAGAATCTGACTGATTTAAGTGATAAAACTGAGGGCTGAATATAATTTACCCTCTTAAAAAAGGTTGTCTTTAGTCCGCATGCAATTAACTATGAGGTGGAGAAAAAAATATTGGATGTAATAGTGACACTATATAATATTAATGATGTAATATCACTAATAAGTGATAGAATATCAAGTAGATTTAGTGGGCTCCACTATTTTATACGTCACTCGAATGATTATGTGGTGCGTCCGTTACACCCAATATTTTTTCGAGGTGGAGAGATTGACTTGTCCATTTCATTGGGGATTTTGGGAGATTATAAAAATTATGAAACAATCAATTTTCTATTTTATTAATTTTGATCAATTGTAATCATCGATTATAAAGTTTGACCCCACCCCACAAATATTTATTTCCAGCCTATTTAATTTTTTATAATCAAACTATTAAGTTCACATTTTCTATACCCATTTTATATTATACACACCTTTTTAATAAATAAGTCTATTTTATATTCTCTCGTAATTAAAGTATCATTCACTATCTAATCTCATATCTACCCAATTCATATATTTCAATCCAAACTATCACTCTCTGTATCTGAACTACCCCTTTAGATGTCCCAATTCTTCTTTAAGGTTTCGGGCACGCTAGGATATTGCCTTACGCCATTGATGGTGAAGTTTGCTGGAGAGTTTTGGTGATAGATTAGAGAGAGAGAGAAGAGGGCAAGAGTTTATTGGGTGACTTGGTGTTATTTGTTGGATGTCCGTATCTGTACTCATATGTGTATCCTTCAGAAGGGACAAAATTTTTTATTTCTGGTTCTTTGAAGGAAAATATCTTTGACGTGTCTAACCTAGATCTGACTCAGTTCGTAGGCATTGTCTAAAATTACAAATTAGATCCACCTCAAACATACGAGTCGAGTCTACCATGGGTTGGAGGAAGTTAGGTCAAGTTAGTCGCGCTATCTTGAGAGAGTTAGGTCAGTCGTGCCACATAAAAAACTCAATCCACAACTAACATGCGAAGAGATCTCTTTGGGATACACATGTCTCCACCTCACGGAATTGTCTCGCTTATTACGAGAAGGGCGCTACCTCTATCGAACTACCTCACTTGATACAAGAAAAACACTTTAATCTATTAAGAGACGCTTATAAATTGTGAACTCTACCTAAACAAAAAGGACATCTCACTCACATGTGAGCATTCTACAACCCTTAAGCAATAAAGTAATCAGGTCATCCTAACCCTCCACCGTGGAATAAGTCACCTTAACCGAATCACTTAAAGTTCTCATCATTTATTATTACATTTAATACTTGTCAGGTGATGCAAAAACACGTTTTGTGCATCATAATATCTCATCTTCTTCTTAGAATGGTTTCATTTTAAAGTTGTTATGTGTCATTTAGTGTAGAAGTCCAGCTATAGATAGAGAATGTTGAACACAACGGTAATATTATATCATAATTGATATAATGACACATTTTATCACACATTACTTATGGAATAGTCACATTACTAAATAAGTAACGAAAACTAATAGAACAGTCATATTATAACACTTTAAACACTTTTAATACATCGATGGTGTAATATGAAAAATTTAATATTTGAGGGTGTAAAATAAAGAGGATGGCTGTAAGATTGAGAAAGAACAAGCAGGAGCAAGTCGCACGGGTAATTTTATAATATAGCAGTCAGTTTACCTCTCCTACCTTCATCTTATCCAACGAGAAAGATTAGTTGTTGGTCAAGCAATTCAGGCTAAGCAGTTCTATCAAGAAGATAGTCACTTGATTGCACTGCTTACTAATCGATGCCTTGGGCAAAACGATCACAAGTCTATCAAAAAATGAACATCAAAGTGCAATTCATCTTATTATCATCAGCCAAACAATAATAAAAAACAAATAACCGTCCCTTAAAACAAAATAAAAAAAAAAGTGCTAACAAGAATCGAAGTAATAATTTCAATTTACCAAATCAAACTAAATTAAGACTTAAGTTCCAATCATTTGGATCGGCTAAAGTAATAACTTCAATATCCTCCCACCCAAATCACTAATCAAGTGAGCCTCGAATTGAGATGGTAGTAACTTTAGGATTTATGATTTAAGCATATATACAACTCCAATATCAAGGCAGGATATGATTGTGCTCGGCTGCACTAGTTGGCTATTCAATATTCATGGAAAACTCTTATCAAACAATTCAAGTTCTAGATGTGGAAATAAAGATTCATTTTTGAAAAGTAGATCCGCAAATGGGAAGTCAGGTGTGTTGTCCCTTAGCCAGGAGGATTTTGCCTCGGTGGTTCAAAACCATGGTCATAATAGTATACAACTCTCATCACCTGTGGAGCCATTCTTTGTCCAAGGCCACAACAAATCCCACAAATGTTGGAGATACTTTCTAGTAAAGCCCACCTAGGCTCATACCATTATGGAGAACATGTGGTTACATTCCCTGGTGAATAGCTGGAGGAGGCATACCGAAAGGAAAAACAATTATTTCTCCATTCTGCACTTGTGTACATGAAAACCACTAACATTCACAAGGTAGGTCAGTTTGGCCAAGACCAAGAAGAACATATCTATCGCCTCAGCAGACTGGTGACTTGAGACTGCAAACCTCAAAGGTCATAGCAAACAAATCAAACATGTGTCCTTTTCCCTCCAGATTGGCGTTTAACCAAATTGAAGAACACGTCCTCTAACGATTTGGAGGGATTTCAATGTGAAATCAGTAAGTGCCAAATCTTTAGATTTTTCTTATGGAATCCACATATGCTCCCGAGATAACCAATTTCAACTTCGCGAAAAAAGAAGTCTCACAGACACTAGATTCACTCGCAATTGGTGATGCGGCAGCAATAAGAACAATATTCTCCCCGTTTCCAACATCTATTTCATACAACTCATGGAAAACCTCCTGAAACTCATGTATCAATGTCTCGTGGAACGACTTACTAGGAGGAATCACATTAATCACAAGTATACCAAGCTCATGAAGAACCAATCTAGCTTCCATAAGAGTTGACTTCCTGACAAACTCCAATGGGGGAGCACTAATGCCCATTGTAGCATCACAAGAATCCAGATCAACCATTATCACATCAAACTTAGCATCAAACACATCAACAGTATCCAAACAACCAACATTCTCTACTTTACAAGTACTAAAAGCATCAGCATTTTGATTTTTCACTTGACAAGCAAGTTTCTCTATCAATTCTATTGCATCTCCAACACACACACTTAAACATTCACCATCTTGCAAGCCAAAATACTGCCTGGCAAGCCTCAAAACAACATCGTCCGCCTCCACAGCCAAAACCTCAAACCCCAATTGAGAATTCAAAAAACTAGGCAAAGCCCCACCGCCAACACCTAAACACAACGCTTTCGGTTTAATCCTATATCGAATTTTTTCATCAATATACGAACTGATCACAGATAAACCTGCAACCATTGGAATAAAATAAGGATGAACCAGAATCCCTTTATCTATCATAAACCCTGCACCCACTAAATCCACAAAACCAAATCCCACATTCCCATTTTCAATCGAATACGGGTAAATTCTTACCTGGGTTTGAATCAAATTGGGCGTTCTTTTGAACCTTAATCTCCTTCGAAACTCTCTACTACACTTAGACTCACCAGTGCCATTACTTTCCAATTCAACATCTTCAACCAATAATTCACCAACACAAGGCCCACAACACCTCTCTACAACTACACTACGAATCACATCATCTTCGTAAATCAAAAAGGGTACCTCGGGCAGACCCTTTTCTGGAAATGCCGATTTGGGCAGTACAGCAAACACTAGGGGGGTTAAATTTTCTTCAAGCTTTGCCCGACTTACCGGGTCGATAAGTATCGGTGGGTCTGGATTATAAATAGTAGGGTGAGGAGAATTTGGAAGGTTTCCGATGAGGATGAGGCGGGAGAGCTGGGTGGAGGAGGAGAGAAGGAGTTGGAGGTGGCCGGGTTGAGTGGAAAAGGTCCAGTCAGACTCGCGGTGGGGAGGTACGAGCATGGCGGCGATTTGGGAGGGGTTTGACGTGGTCGGAGAGTCGTGTACGGCGATGCGGAGTAGGGCATTGTGGAGGTGGGGGTTGGGAAGAGTTGGGTTTGGGAATGTGAAGGTGATGAAGCGGGAGGACACTATAGTTCCGAAGGTGGATGGGTCGAGGGACATTGTGAGTTTGAGGAAGGTGAGGGAAATGGAACGAAAGAAAGACTTTCGATATGCGCAGATCGGAAAAACAATTCGAGGGAGAATTATTCGCAGCCCTGATATTTTGAAATATTACATATTTGTACTGGCGTAAGACCAACTCTTATGGTTAATGTGCGTTTCTATATTTATTAGTAAATTATACTTAAATTTTTAAAATTTATTAACGTGTAATACTTAAATATCTTAAATTTAAAATATTATACTTACACTAAAAATATTTTAATCAAAGATAAAATGTCAAATATTTTAAATTTTATAATCAAAATTCATACGCTACTTTTTCTTAAAAAATTATAATTAATATACAATTATATTATCAATTAGAATTTAATTTGGTGGTTTAAATGACCAAATTAAACTACAAAATTACCAAAATTAAAACAAAAAAATATTATGTCCATTACAGTTTGATCCCTTGTTTATTTTTTAGTTTTATTCTAGTAAATAGTATAATTGTATACTAAGTACTATTTTTTAAGAAAAAATTAAAATTTTATTTTAGATTTTATTTAAATAAATAATACAATAGAACATAATTTTTGTTGTAAAATTTAAAATATTTGATATTCTATCTTTAATTAGATTATTTTTTTACCTAAATATAATATTTTCAATTTGAAGAGTTTAAGTATTATACGTCAATAAACTTTTAAAAATTTAGATGTAATNTTTACCTAAGTATAATATTTTAAATTTGAAGAGTTTAAGTATTATACGTCAATAAACTTTTAAAAATTTAGATGTAATTTACTAACACTGTGAACATTGACGACAATGTCTAAGGGTTACGTGTATACAAACTTTAGGAGGTCTGTATATAATATTTTAAATATTAAGGGGTCAGAGTAATTAAGTAACAACTTTTAAGAGAACCGAGTGAAATTCTCTCAAAATTCATAGGAAAGAAAAATACAGGTAAATTACATTTTCTCCCATAGAACTATTATTTTTGTTTCACTTTATACTATTAACTATAAAAATTTTCACATTGTGCCATAAAATATCNATAAACTTTAGGAGGTCTGTGTATAATATTTTAAATATTAAGGGGTCAGAGTGATTAAGTAACAACTTTTAAGAGAACCGAGTGAAATTCTCTCAAAATTCATTGGAAAGAAAAATACAGGTAAATTACATTTTCTCCCATAGAACTATTATTATTGTTTCACTTTATACTATTAACTATAAAAATTTTCACATTGTGCCATAAAATATCAATTTTATTTCATATCATTATAATAGATAATAATTGTTAATTTTTGGACGAATTAGAATGACAAATTTAAAAATATATCAAAGGAGGGCAGGAAACCCTAAAGAGCTTTTTGCTAAGTGTCTAGTATCACTTTTTTTTTTTTTTTACCTTTTTTGTAACCAAATAGTAGCTAGGAAGGAAAAGAAGGTTGGCCAGATGAAGAAATTTTAGAGTTTAAGAAGGGGAAAGTGATGGATAGGTATTTTTTTTTTTACTTGAACATGTGTAATAGACAGTTATTTATTGGCAATATAGACCACTTACATGTGTAGTTACCGTCCAAAAAATTGATAGTCATTATCTATTGGAGTGACAGAAAATAAAATTGATACTTTATGGTGTAATGTAATAAATTNCCACTTACATGTGTAGTTACCATCAAAAAAATTGATAGTCATTATCTATTGGAGTGACAGAAAATAAAATTGATACTTTATGGTGTAATGTAATAAATTTTGTAATTTAGGGTGTATAGTAAAATAAAGGTAATAGTTCAAATAGATAAAGTGTAATTTATTGCAACTGTGGTTAATATCAAAACAAATAAGCAAATGGACTCCATAAAAATTGATAACTCACTCTTGCTCCATGTAAACAAATAACTACCTACTTGCCCACTTGATATTTTTCTTTTATAATTAGTTGGTCATATTATGTCAGTATTGTTAACATCATATCACCGTTGCATTGAATATTTTCTCATGTTCAAAAATACTTTTTATATTGTTTGAAATTTTTTTTTGGGTTAATTACAAAACGCCTTCTTCAACTTTGGGTACTTTGCAACTCACTTATTTAGGTTTTTATTTTAACAAATAGTCCCCTTTAAGTTTGAATATTTTGTAATTAACTCCAATAATTATTTTTAGACAATAAAAACTAACTAAAGTTAGACATGTCAAATTTACGTGATCTATACTTTATTGAACAGAGATAATTATTCTTACACCTATTTTTTCCTAGTATGAAATATCTATACTTCCTTTTTTACTCTTATATTTTTCCATCCTCTCCTACCTCTAATGGTTAACTCTCATTCATTTCTCCCCTTTCGGTAAAAACCCTCCCTTCCCTATGATGAGGTGGAGGCGAAGGTTTCTTTATTTTTTATTCTTAGTTTTTTCGTTTATTTATTTTTTAAGGACAAAATTGATATCTCAAGAAAAATATATGAGAAATAATGTACAAGACGGATGGTGTAATGATTCTTTCAGGTGTTCAACCTCTATTGTTAGTCAATTTAATCCTCTTGAAATTTGGAAGGGGTAAATTACGAGATTTTAAATGATGGGGAGCTGATTATAACAAGGGACATAGTTAGAGGGTGCATATTATAATTAATCCATTTTTTGCTACATGTCTTCTAAAATTACTAGCCAATGTCTTCACGATGTGCAACATACAATTTGAGCATTTAAAAAATCAATCTCTATATATTAAATAGTAATTTGTTTCCATCCTTTTCCTTTTATTACATAATTTGAAATTCATTTCTATCCACTATTTTTATAAAAAAATTAATAATTTTTTTTCAAAAATCATGACTTTAAAAAATATCGAATATGAACAATATTTGAAATAAAAATTATATTAAGTCACAAATTAATACGAAATTAAATAATTCAACTTGTGATATAAATAAGTAAAATGATAAAAAGAAAGAGAAAAATATATGAAAATAAAATTCAAGGTACTAATTATTTTATTAGATAGATTAATATTTTAATTTTATCCTTTTCCTCCATCAACCCACCTACAGCACTAGTAGATCTCACCAACACCACCACTTACCATCATTCACCACAAGCACCAACATTGCCACCATTATTGCCTCCATTACTACAAGCACCACATCACTCTCACCACTACATCTACCACCACCACTATCTCGACCATCGTACTATACCATTTTCCAAACTCCCACTACCATAGGCATTATTACCCTTCACCAGCTTACCTACGGCATTGTTGTTGCTGCCATTGAGGTCGAGATGATAGTGGTGGGAGCAACCCTAGTAGGATGGTGGGGTGTGTGTCTACTAATGATGGTGATAGTGATGAGGTGGTATTGGGATGCTTGTAACAACGGTTGGGTGGAAATGGTGGAAAGGATGATGGTGGCGTGTGACAATAATGGTGGTGAGATGACGGTAGAGTGGTAGCAAGCGTAAAAAAGTAGGTGATGGTTTTGAATGTATTTTGAAAAGGTAATTAAAGTTTTTAGTGTGGTGAATTTTGGCTTTAAATGGCACTTAATTGAATTTTTGTGAAACGTTTTTCATTTTTAAATATTGAATTGGAACAACTCAATTCTATCATTGGATTAAATTTTATCTTATTTAAATTTAACTTAAAAACTTTGGTTGTCCAATATTTTTTTATCACCCTTGTGAGAATCCCTTGAAAATCAGGAGTCAAATCCCAAAAATCCAATCTAATACTCAATTGAGTTGAATTTTAGAGAATTATATCTGAGTGGCAACTCAATTTCATCAATAAGTCATGTGGATTATTCATATGTATATTACGTTTGATTCAAATTGAATCATAATCAGATCGGATAGTGTCATGTCTGAATTTGATTTTATAAAACATTGATCTAATTTATTTGAATGATTGATCAAAAACATTGATTTATATTCGACTAATCAATTTTGGATCAAAGTATGATCCATTGTCATGCATACTGATGGGTCAAGCCCAAATAGCTCAATTTATGTGAGAAGTCCAACCCCAATTGAGGAGCCCAACCTTATGAAAAATCCACCAAGCCCAATATAGTTCAAGACCAGTTAAACTCTTTGCTTAACCACGTCATCAAGGGGGAGAGCATGAGAAGTTTTATCTGCACTACCGAAGGAAACGGTCCATCTTTGACCGTTTTTCATGGAGAGCTCCTCAACCACCTCGCTCGTTGAGAAGAGATCGGGAGCTCCACCGAAATAGTTGCTTAGTCGCTGGAAAGCAGCCCCAACCTGTTAGGGGGCCACTATAAATTGCACGCTCCATCAACACTTGGAAGGACACTGATTGCTTGGCACCACACCTTCCTTGATTCTCTATTCTCCCTCGAAACTTGTATTCTCTATCTACATATCCTTAAATTAATAAAGTACTCGACAACGAAAGTCATTCAAGAGTGGACGTAAGTCGAGTTGACCGAACCACTATAAATCTTGTCTCCTCCAATTCTCTCTTTATTTTTACTGTATTTATTATTTACACTTGACAGGTAGTGTGCAAAATCATTTTTGTGCATCATCAGTTTAGCGCCGTCTGTGGGAAAAAGACAAAATTCTCACTCTTGAACATTCCATCTACTGAACCAATGACGATCACTACCCAATCCATGAACCAACACGAAGACAATCCACCACGAGAGGAGGAGGTTGCTTCTCCACCAGCCAACCCTGTCCCAAATGCTCCAACTTCGAATCCCCAACAAATGTTGGAGACCATGCAGCAGCTGGTGGCCCAAAACCAACAGCTACTGCAACTCATGCTTGCTGGACAAGGAGGAGCACAACTTGGAGGTGCANTATTTTTTTATCACCCTTGTGAGAATCCCTTGAAAATCAGGAGTCAAATCCCAAAAATCCAATCTAATACTCAATTGAGTTGAATTTTAGAGAATTATATCTGAGTGGCAACTCAATTTCATCAATAAGTCATGTGGATTATTCATATGTATATTACGTTTGAT